TGCTGCAACTAGTATTTTTGACAGTTACAATTCTTGTTGCTGTGTTGGACCCAGTTGTTACGGGAGTGGCAAATCGGTAATCTCTGGAAATTGGGTTGATTACTGCTTCTTTAGTGGGTAAGAACAAGAAAATGAGAGCAGTAATTTATTGTTTCTTTGCAGGCAAAAACCCAAAATGGTGTAATTTGAGGTAGTGACTGGATGCTTTTAAGTTAAATTGGCAGCAAAGGTGGGAGACTCGCCCATCGGGTTGAGCAGCTTATTTAAGCTTAGTCCGAGATATCCTCGAGCAAGCAGTCTTACTTGTGAAAACCCTGTTGTTTCTTGACAGTGGTTTCTGTTAGCACAGCATGTGAGGAAGGTGACAAGCTGCTGAGGAGTGTCACTCTCCCAGTGTCCTCCTGCTTATACTCAAAGGACACGACCCAGGAGCAGTCCTGTAAAGGACCTGTTTTGCACCTACATCTATTGTACAAGGCTTGTATAGTTTTGTCCTTTGTAACAGATGCATAAAGCAGAAAATTCCACCCTAAACCACCGTCCCAGGCTGTTCTCTTCCAGTTGGGGAGCAAGATGTTCGGGTGTGGGAGGCTCCCGAGGCCTCTCTGGGATGGCCGGCAATGCAGGGCTCCTTGTCACCCGCGGGCAGAGGCTGTGGGCTCGGGGGGCCGCCAGAATCCAGTGTGTGTGCAATGTGTGTGCGGTGTGTGTGTGTGTGTGTGCGCAGTATCTCTGTGTGTGTGGTGTGCGGTGTGTGTGTACAGTGTCTGTGTGTGCAGTGTCTGTGTGTGTGTGCGGTGTGTGTGTGTGGTGTGCGGTGTGTGTGTGTGTGCAGTGTGTGTGGTGTGCAGTGTGTGTGTGTGTGCAGTGTGTGTGTGTGCGGTGTGTGTGTGTGCAGTGTCTGTGTGTGTGTGCGGTGTGTGTGTGTGTGTGTGCGGTGTCTGTGTGTGTGTGTGTGTGGTGTGTGTGTGTGTGCGCAGTGTCTGTGTGCGGTGTGTGTGTGTGTGTGCGGTGTGT